AAAAACTGATGATGGTGGAAAAATACACCGAAACGTATTTTAATTGATAAATAAAGACAATAAATGACTGAAGCCCAGGAATTAATTTTGATTTGGAATTATCGTCAATTGCATCTCGCTTTCACGCCATTAAGCTCCTTGTTGGCTAATCAAACACTTTTCCTCCGAATTCAAAGCAAACTGATATTTTTGTCGATTTCTCTGCTTAGGTGGCCACGCTTTGGGAAACAGTTTGGCCGTTTTGCGCACTTTTTACAACTTGGGAGCGCGATACTTAACGATCACCCATTCCTGCGACACCCCATGGGCTACCGGCCAGGACACGATCACTCGAGATGGACTGAGCGACTTTGGCAAAAACGTCGTCAAAGAAATGAACCGATTGGGAATGATTGGTAAGTCTTCCGTAGGTCCAAGCGCGCACAAAACCCGCAAACAAACGCCATAAAAGACTCAATTTCGCACCCCCTCGAAAAGGGTCCGCATCATCTTTTACGGGCGCATTTTCCAGCATAATCGCTGAAAAGATATTCCTGAGATATGCTAAGCCAGGCCACGCTCATTATAATAGAGTGCCTTAAGCTAGACGGTGCACTGAATGGCTTCGTAAGTGGTTTCTAAGGAGCATACGCGAACTTTTCTGCAGGACGTGGCCCTTTGAAGCAGGCATAGAATTCGTAATTATTGTCATTGTTTGATGCTTGCAGTTGATTTGTCCCATTCATCGGTCTACACAGCCGTATCGGCGATCAACGTTTCGGCAGCACCGGTCATCTTCAGTCACTCGGCCGCTTATACTCTGTGCAATTCGTCCCGGAATGTACCGGACGAGGTGCTCAGAATGGTTGCCCGGAATGGAGGGATTGTGATGGTCAACTTTTATGCTTATCATGTGGCCTGTGGCATTAATGCCACTATGAAGGATGTTATCAAGCATATTAACCACATTCGGAAGGTTGCTGGCATTGAACATGTTGGTAGGTTTCGATAAGTTGGCCTCCGCGATTACCCGATTTTTCGCCATCAGATTTCTAATGCTTCTAATGCAGGCATTGGGGCGGGATACGATGGAATCAACGTGACTCCATCAGCACTGGAAGACGTCTCACGCTATCCTTATCTCTTCGCCGAGCTGCTAGCGGATCCCACATGGTCCGAGAAGGATATTCGAGCGTTGGCCGGACTGAATTTCCTGCGAGTGTTCGAAGAAGTGGAAAAAATCAGGGACGAGTGGCGAAAAATGGATATGCTACCCTTCGAACAGCTCGGCCCCAAGAGGAATGTGGATGAGTGCATTTCGAAGAACTCTTGACACCAACTATTCGTTGGGGAATTTAGTCAAATGGGCCAATATAAGAGCCAACTTAGAGGAAGGGTTTTCTGCGGGTGTTTCTTTTTGGTAGGTAATTGGAGATTCTTCGATGAAAATGCGATGGCTCAACTGTTTTACCCCGATTTAATGTACGCGGATAATGGCAGAAAATACTAGGCAGTGTAAAATGTGTATTTTTTGTAATGCGTTTACGATGTTAGATGGAAGTCRCAATACTGTAAAATGCAACCATCGACACCAAATAAAATAATTTAAAATCCTMTTGACTGCTCAACAAAATTTGSCCCAATTTTGGAGCTGAATGCGTTCTGCATTCAGGCAAAAMMCCGTTTTTTTTCAACACCAAAGCCATAAAGATATGCCCCATATTTCGAGACGGTTTTCGAAATTTTTCRTTTTTTGTTTTACTTRCAGGGTGACTTTGAACATTTTCTTGGTCTGGCACTGGTTTTTGCACCGATTTTCAGAATCTAACGCTCATGTTTGAATTAAAAAATCTCTGCATTCAACAACAAACTAAACTATTTCAAAAATGGCTCCACTGCAAGACTAAAGAGTTGATTTTTTGAAATCTCCTTCTAAATAAAAGAAATAGTCGAAAAATTCAATCACAGTTTTGCAAACGGGGATTGGGTTTTCAAACCAATTTTGATGTCGAAAAAAAAACGTTTTTCTGTTCAACTGGAAACATGCCAAACTTTGAGAAATTTTGCAATTTTGCATTGTTTCATTTTCAACCCTGCAGCAACATCTAAAGTACCCAACTTTTTCAAAAAATACGGACGGGTAGAGAAAAATCGACTAGATAACGTTTGAAATAGACGCTAAAGCGCTCGCACCAAATAGAATTTCTCCAGTTTAAAAATTAGGGCAAATTTGTCGGTGTAACGTTTCTTTTGTTGAACATTTTATTTCTCACCTTGCCCTGAGGGCTCATTTCAAACAGATACTTTGTTGGTGCATTTACCGAAATTCTTCGCGATCAATCGCTTGAAACTGATTAGTTTTTCGGGCCTTTAGGGCGTCAAAGAAAAGCCCTTCTTCCTGCCGTTTCGCAAGCTCGAGTTGTTTGCGTCTTCAGAGTGGGCCTGCGTCGAGCAAGTCMCCTCTGAAGACGCAAACAACTCGTGCTTGCGAAACGTCACGAAAAAAAGTCCACGCCGTTAAACTCCTAGAAAAAATCAATCAAACTTTTGTTGGAAAAAAAATGGGCGGAAAACTCACCACTTTGAAAATTGTTGCATTTTATTACTATTGGGACTGTTGGCGTTTGGTAGGTTTTATAGTGTTCCCACGCACAATCATGTGTTCGAAATTACAAAACAATCTGATCCTTGATTGCTAAAGCTAATTAGATTCCAGTTTTAGACACTGGATGTATTTAAGTGTGTTGTGTTTAAATGTCGATCCTTATTGGGACACCCTGTTGCATGTAGAGGCGCTGGTCAAGTCTGAGGACAAATTCCGTAAAAACTTGGCACAGCTGCTTTGGGTTTTTCATTGTTTTCTATATAGTTAAATTGGATAATAATGAAGACGATTTTGCGACTGAGCAGTTTTTTGATAAATGGAAAAAATCACAATTTTTGAATATATTGACAGTCTTTTGAATTTTGTCGGAGTTTTATATAAGAGTTTAATGATTTTTTAAGGCTTTTACAAAAAAAAATGAGAACATTTAATTGTATTGAGATGATATAGATTTTTCACGTGATTAATCGTGTTTTTATATAGGAATAGTAAGTAAATGATGTCCGACGTGCAAACGTGATTATTTTCACGTTGATTCATGTGCGTCGTCTTGGTTGTGAGAAAAAAAAAGGATTCAGGATAGGATTGAATTAAACCCGTCGATTAGCAGCTTTTCATCTTGATCATCTTTTAACCACCAATACTAGATCGACTTTGTCTTCTTTGTGCAATTTCAGTCAAAATCCAAACGATTTCGAAAGTGTTGCCGCAAGTTTTCAGTAAATGTTTATACAAACTTAAGCAAATCAAAAAACAGAAGCTCTCGAGTTTGAAACTCATTTTTCAAACCTTTTCAGTTGAAGATGCTGAAAATCAACTTTTGCACCTACAACTCAAAATTTTGCTCGTGTCTTACGCAAAAATCACCCACTCTGCATATGACCAAAGTATTTTTATTTGTAAAATTTCAAAAATAATCTATTTCTAAATAGCGGGAAACATTTGCAATTTGCTTCTTGTAACCAACTTGCAAGGTCCAAGCTTTTCGATCGTCGTGGAAAATCATTTTTTCCTGACTACACTTTTCGAGCGAAACACCTCTGAAGATGCGGCCACTCGTGCTGGCGAAACATCAGGAAGAAATGCTTTTCCACCCCAGTCCACCTTACCACAAACTTGCTCACACCGTCAAAAAAAATTAGAAACAATTATTTGCCCTGGTTTAATGCGATCGTATCCAAAATCCGCCTTTTATCATTTACTCAAACAAACCGTAAGAGCTATTTCGTGAGATAGTGAGCATTTGCCAAATGATATAGTTTTTAATAGTTTACGTGTCCGTTAGATGGAACGGTTTTAATGAAACGTTTTAAGTGTCGTTATGTTGATTAGAAATCGACCCTATTTATGTAGAATAAAAGTTGAGGGAAACTGTTTGTGTTGCATTTGCTATGGGGGGATGGGGGACCTGAAGTTTCGAACAAAACATGTCGGAAGTTGCGCGAAAGCACGATTTAACACGGATGGAAACAACATCAACAACAACAACTTTTTGGCAAAAGTTGGCTAATGCGTTTTAATCAGCGCACTCTGTTTGCCAAACGGTGTCACATTGCCCTGCTAAAACAGTTGATCATAAAAACGTTTTTTGGTGGTGCTCCTCAAAGTTCCTCAAAAAAGGTACTTTAACGCTAGATTTACTGTAAACGAGCTGTTTTTGTTTTGCCGATTGGCCTGAAATAAACAATAGAACCACGTAATATGCACGTTTTGCACACTCCTTTGCATGATTTAATTATTTATAGGAACTTCTTCAATGAGCGCATCTTCCGAAATTAACTAATAGTGTCAACAACAGCAGAATTGTTTTCGTTTTCCGTTGGAACGGTTGCATGTTTTATCTGCTGTTAAAGGTACGTTTCACTTTTTCAATGGCCAAAACCATCATCGGCAAAATGTCCGGGGACAGAAAAGCAAATAGCCCCTATTTAAAATTGCGCGAGCACATCATCAAGCCAAGTTTGTTATTCTACACTCTTGAATTTCAGTAATAAGCGGCTCTATATTTGGCCACACACATAGAGCGTGGAGTGGCGTAAAAACAGAGCGTGCGAACTTCACCGTTGAGCGTCCAGTTTGGAGCAAATTGTAAGTTTTTATTTTTAGAGCTTGATTCTTGTTGAAATTTTGGGTGCAATTTTGGGTGCTTTTAATTTTCAAAAATGCAACTTTCCTAACTGGTAATTTCCAAATACTCCAGGTTTTTCAACAGCTTTATTATTATTAGTTCAGCACCAGATTTAAACATTTGAAAAATAGGAAAATTGTCTTAACTTCTCTTCTTCTCGTCTTAACGCTCGCAAAAAGAATGCCAAATTTCCAGAATTTATTGAAGAACCCCAGAAACAACAAAATCCATATGTATTTGTAGAATAAAACCATCAATAAAATTTGCTTTCACGTCGGGCTTTCTGAACTTGAAATCGGCCTGTTATTCCTCGGGCAACACCTTCAAAGCGCGCTTGATAAGTGGCATAGTAAAATTTCAAACAAATTACACTTGAAAATTGCTGCCATTAAACTTTCCTTCGTGGATAAACAAGCAGTTTCACCGAAATAAAAATTACTCATCGTCCTAATGACCGCACGTTATTGCCGATCCTATAAACATTTTCCAGAAACTTGATTGTTTACTTTGGATTGGGTTGATTGTTCCTAAATTGAACGTTTTCACGTCCTTTGTGGCCGCGTGATGGCGATAAATATTTAATAACGTCCGTTAACTATTTAAATTCCCGCATGGAAAGTCAAGAATGCCTAAAATTTTTCAGGAACTTGCAGGAAAAATGGTGGTGACGAAAAACGGACACACGATCCATCCCTGCATCAAGGAGGTGATTTTCGTGGTAAGTTGAATGGAAAATATCGAATCACCCACGCATTATGGAAATGTGTTTTATGATTCATTAGAATCGCTTCTTTGAAAACAGGACTGTCCCTGATGGGCAATCGTAGCGAAATTGAGTGTTTACAAAATAAACCCTGATTTTCCTGTTCCTTTCCATTTTGAGTCATTAGCGTAGGAAGGGAATTGCATTAGACTATCAGCTGGAAAGCTTTACGTTTTGTCTTTTACATATAATTTTCAATAGTTTTATTTGTTTTGCACGTTTCAACCTTCCCACTTTTGGGTCTGCTCGCCTATACAGGAAAGGATCTGATTAAATCGCCTGACACACTTTCCACGAATAATTACCTATTTATCCGAACTTGACTTTGTTTTTCTAAATTAAGGACAATTTATTCAGGGACGGACAAAATTAGGAAACCTTGTAAAGATCCAGGTAGATTGGTTGTTCCACAATTTTCACTCTCGCAACAAATTAAAGAAGCAAAATGCCGCCAACAAACTGAAGTTAAAAGTTTCATGTTTACCGTCCCGTTTTTGCTCATTTCTCGGAAGCAAAATGAGCAAGAAGGCCTTTTTTTGCATCAGTCCAGAGCAAAATAAATGGCATTTTTGGAACGTGAACTATCGATAAAAAAATTGGGGCAGTTTTCTCAAAAAAGTCTTGATTTCAAGAAGTTTAAGATTTGCCTGTTTTTTTTTGAGTTACAAAATCGACTCAAACCGGACGCTGCTTTTTTCGAAATTTGAGAATTTGTTTCGGCATCGTTGGATAGAGAATTGAAAACTCGATTCAGTCGTAGCAACTTGAGTGAGGAAATTCGAGTAGTTTCGACCCAGAAAGCGAAATTTGAATATCAGACACTTAGGTGCAAGACTATGCCAAAATTTCACGTTTTCAGTCCCGCTTTTGCTTATTTATCGGAACAAAAATGAGCATGAACGCTCATTTTTACATCATTCCACAGGGAACTAAATGGCCTTTGAGAAGGCCTTTTTTGCAACCGGAAAAATACTAGCAAAACGTTTTTAAGGCCATATAAACCGTCGAATATTCACTCCAAGGTTTGATTGACTACAAACCATCAATTTAAGCTGAGCCATTCCAGTGAAAGAAAACCAATTTTTCAAATAGTTTCCCGATAAATTTCGTTTGAAGGGGGTTTCTATTTGCTTTGTTGCAGTGTTACGAGCCGAATTTCGCGACGCAAGACATTCAACATGTTCGTTGGAAAACACATCGAAAACTTCAGGGATTCTTGCAAAAACCTGCAGCATTAATTACAGCTATTATTAGACCGTTTAACCACTACTGAATTGAAATAAATGTAAATTTATTTAGCTGTACGTTGCAATAGTTTGCTATTTGGAGGCAAAACGAAGATTGATCAGAGGATTTGGCACGCATGAAACCACAACAGTAACGTTAATGAGGTTTGGAAGCTTTTTACTGCCAATCTTGCGAAAGTTTCAGGGTCGCTCTATCTAAAATTTCGTTTTTTCTCTTGTGCTTGAATGTTCTAATCACCTACTGCAAACTATCTTCAACCCCACTCAAGAACTCCCGCCTTTATACATGAGTATCTATAAACAGTATTTTTCTTTCCATGTGCTTTTTGCCTGTAGTCTCCTCTGTTTCTATTTTTACAATTTCCTCTTACTGTCCCACTTCTGATGCCTTAGTTTTATATGCCTTAGTAGAGTTTCTGTTCTTATCACTCAGTTATTTTTAGAATTTTGTTTTCGTAATTTCCCTCCACTTTCCTGCTATTTCTCCTCTACTCCTCCTACTTCCCAAATTTTTCGATTTCCCAACCCTTTATACTTAATGTTTATTTAAAAAATTAATACTCCCTGTCGAATTTCGGATCGGATCCGTTTCACATGGATTTGATCTTTGTATAAACGTGCCATCAGCAAATATACAAAGATTAACGTGGCTGGCATTAGGAAAGTAGGCATTTCATTGGGAAATTTTAATTGCCAATTAACTAAGCTTCCTGCAATTAGGGATATTAAATGTAGCCGTTCCAATAGGAAAAACCAGGCAATAATGAAACTCAGGACTGAGCAAGAAAGAAATATTTTCTAAATCAACTATTCCGCAAAATTTCAAGTAATTTGAGTGTGTGAAATCAGCAGTAAAAGGACTGCTAAATGCTTGTACCAGGCGCCGTTTTAATGGACTTTGAGTTTTGATTACACCGTGAGCAAAAAGGGGTTTAAACAACTGAAACCAATCGACGCATTTATGCCATTCTGATGGTAAAAGCGAAGAGAGTTCGCTGGGTTAAATCGACAAACTTTCGCAGGTCATTAGGGTTTAATAAAAGGTTTCCATTTTAAATTTACACGTTTTAATGTTGAGCTGGAAACCTTGCTGCCACTTGAGCATGAAGAAACATCATCAGGATTCACTCAAATTTCCATCTGCTCATCTTCAATGTCTTTGAGAGTAGAAGACACTTTTGAAATGCGGCCAATTAAGTGAAATTCATTGACTGATAGGAAAGTGGCAACCCTTTGGTGCACCGTGTACTTTTCACATAATGAGCGAAAATTCAACTTTAGTCCTACTTTAGGTGCAAGATAATGCGCGCTAGGCCTGATTTGAGATGTTGGCTTAACTTTGAATCACTTTTTAATGAGCAGTTATCACGATACGTGGTGGCATCCACGCCACTTCCATGTTGGCTATTTGCAGAAGCCGTACTTTAAAGCTCCATTTTTGTCCATGAATTTCACATTGTTTAATGGAAATCGCACGGCCGGATGGAGCTGAAAGTTCGAACATTCCTGGACATTTGCATGACCTTTTCAGGTACCTGTAAGGCCGAATGCAAATTTCATCACCGGCATTAGCAGCAGTTTGTAAAGTGCGCTTGCTATATGCGAAAATAATTGATTGGTGCTGCTAAAATTGTTATTTTTGTAAAGTTCGAGGGACTGGAGCTGCGGGAAATTGATCGAGTTTGCGACAAAGTTGTTGTTCCAGAAGACTTACCTAAAAAAACTTCTTTACTCAAACTGAAGCAAGCAGTAACTGGCATTAAAGAGACAAAAGAAGTGATTAAAACAATCAATATCGGGCAAGCGAGAGAAATAGTCAAACTTTGGCGAAGAGTGGCGTCGGTTTTTCGATTGAACTTCACCCAGTTTTGCTCAATAATTCCATTGACCCAATTACGTCGACTGATAAAATCCCCACAGCATAAATACCCGAAAATTCCCGACCTTTCCGATATATTCAAATTACTTTTAATTTAGGCGACGGACTGGAGTTTTCGAACAATATCCCTAATTTGACATGGGAAAATTTAGTCAGATCATGTCCACTAAAGTTTTCAAGCCGGCAAAAATCAGGGGTTAAGGCGATTTGGGCGAAATTTTCAG